CTACCCCCAGCACCTGGATCTTTGCCTGCCCATCTTGTAAAGGCTCAACACATATTTACTAAACAAATGAATAAGTAAATGGATGAATTAATCCTTTTCTTCACCTGTCAGCTGCTTTCTGTATCTAACTAGCATCGTGTTAAAGAGCAAAAAGTCGAAAGCCAGACTGCCTGGGTTTGGAGTCCTGCTTCACCACTCACAAGCTGTGTAAACTTGTGTAAGTTATTCAGTCTTTCTGTGCCTCAGTTTCCTCATCTGTAAAAGGAGGATGATAATAGTATACACTGTCTAACAAGGTTGTTGTTAAGGATTAAAAGACAGCGTATGTAAAGTGCTTAGACCAAGATCTGGCAATCCAGTGCTATCTAAGTAATAGCTATTGTTCTTATTCGGCCTCATCCATCTCTCCATTTATGCATTCTGAACCCTCCCACAAAGCCTCATTATCTTATTTCCGGCCTCTGAGTGCAGATGACTCAGTGTAATTTGCAGATTAGGTTGAAAAGTTTTGTTTTTTAGAATTCTTATTATGGAAATGTTCAATCATACACAGAAGCAGAGAAGAGGATAATGAACCTCTGTAATAAGCTTCAACAATTATCAACATTTTGCCAATCTTTGTTCATCTATACTCTCCTTTTTTTCCCTCTGTACTGAAGTATTTTAATGTAAGTCGCAGATGTCATGTCATTTTGTCTGAAAATACTCCAACATGTATTTCTAACAGATGAGGACCTTAAAAAAAACACAGCAATACCATTATCACCCTTTTAAAATGAACAATAATTAGGGAGAGCTTTTTTTGTTTGTTTTTTTGAAATGGAGTTTTGCTCTTGTAGAGGCTGGAGTGCAGTGGTATGATCTTGGCTCACTGCAACCTCCGCCTACTGGGTTCAAGCCATTCTTCCTGCCTCAGCCTCTCGAGTAGCTGAGATTACAGGCGCCTGACATCATGCCCGGGTAATTTTTGTATTTTAGTAGAGATGGGATTTCACCATGTTGGCCAGACTGGTCTCGAACTCCACCCACCTCAACCTCCCAAAGTGCTGGCATTATAGGTGTAATTCACTGCAGGTTCAAACAATTCTCTTGCCTCAGCCTCCCGAGTAGCTGGGATTACAGGCGTGTGCCACCACACCCAGCTAATTTTTGTATTTTTAGTAGAGACGGGATTTCACCATGTTGGTCAGGCTCGTCTCGAACTCCTGACCTTGTGATCCGCCCGCCTCAGCCTCCCCAAGTGCTGGGATTACAGGCGTGAGCCACCACGCTCGGCTGGGAAAGCTTTATAAACCCCATTCCCTTGAGAGATGCTGGGGGAATGGGAGGCCTTGATTAGGTATGCATAATGAGGAACAGCAGAGAATTAATCTATGTAAAGTGTTTTGAATGGGGCCTGTCACATAAGACGGATATAGTAGTAACTATTATTTTGATTCTCTTTGATTCTCTCCATTTACCCACTCAAAATCCTCCCAATCTCTCTCTTATTTTCAGGCTGTGAGCCTGGATGACCATTTATAAAGGAGGACTAGGAGCCTGGGCTGGGGAGTTTCCTGGGTCATCAGAGCCCTGGGTTGAGACCTGGGACTCCAGAAGGCACCAAGAAGGGCCCAAAGGAAGCAGACTACAGGACTGAAGGGGAGGGGAGGAGCAGCCAGAGCTGGGGAGTTTAAAGGAGGAGCCCTACAGCTGTGTGAAAATGGGGCTTAGAAAATCCAATAGCCAAAGGGCAGGCAAGCTGAGGGTTGGTCCTTCCTTCCCAGTGATCAGGGCCTTTGGGCACCACTGCCAGCTGGGAAGCAGGGGGAGGTAGCCAGGGTTCCTCAGGGAGTTCGCTTTAGCTTTTCTTCACAGCCCACAATGAGGCATGCCTACAACAACCACCAGGGGCCTGCTTTGCTTCATCTTCAGTTCTCAACAATTCCCAGGATATGAGTGATGATGGTGGACCCTGAGCCAAAGCACAACTAGACATGGCCTTCCCCAGACTCAAGATGAAGATTTTTGTGCTCTCATCTCTCTTTTCCTTTCTGCAGAATTCTCTCCTACATCTTCTCCCCTATTCTGCTCTTCTCATTCTACTCATCCTTTGGGTATCCAGGGTGCCTGGACACTCGACTCATCCTTAGCTCCTTTGTGCTGCTATAATAAAATGCCACAGACTCAAACTCATATTTTTTTTTTTTTTGAGACGGAGTTTCACTCTCATTGCCCAGGCTGGAGTGCCAATGGCGTGATCTCGGCTCACCACAACCTCTGCCTCCCAGATTCAAACGATTCTCCTGCCTCAGCCTCTCGAGTAGCTGGGATTACAGGCATGTGCCACCATGTCCGGCTAATTTTGTATTTTTAGTAGAGACAGGGTTTCTCTGTCAGGCTGGTCTCGAACTCCCGACCTCAGATGATCCGCCCGCCTCAGTCTCCCAAAGGGCTGGGATTACAAGCGTGAGCCCCCGCGCCTGGCCGTCAAACTCATAATTTATAAACAATAGAAATGTATTTATTATGGTTCTGGAGGCTGAAGAGTCCAAGATGAAGGTGCCAGCAGGATTGGTGTCTCCTGAGGGCTGCTGTCTGCTTCCAAGATGGTGCCTTGTTGCTGCATCCTCTGGAGGTGAAGAAATACTGTGTCCTTACGTGGTAGAAAAGCAGAAGAGCAAAAAGGGCCTAAACTAGTTCCCTCCAGCCCTTCCATAAGGCACTAATTCATTCATGAAGTAGGATCCCTCATGACATAATTACTTCCCAAAAGGCCCCGCCTCTCAGTGCCACCATAGTGGGGATTAAGTTTCAACACGTGAATTTTGAAGGACCTTCAGACCATAGCACAGCCCAATCCAAGCTTGCCTCCAGGAAAAGATGTGATTTAAACACTTTAGCAGAGTAAACAAGTTCCTTCATAACCTGGCCTTCAACTGCCTCATCAACTTCATTTCCCACCACTGCCCTCTTCTTTCCAGTGTGACACAGTGAAACAGCACAGATTCGTGTCCATACGGACCTAGTATTGAATTCTGGCTCTGCTGCTTCCTAGCTCAGGAAGCTTAGGTGAAGTCATCTCTCTGAGCCTGTTTTTATCTCTCTGAGCCTGTTTACACATCTGAAAAATGGGGATAATAGTATACTTAAAAGGCCTCTTAACAAAGGACTTAAAGTCATACAAACCAGGAAAATAGCCCATGTTCTCCAAGTTCTCCAAGATCCCCCACCTCCCCCCGACCTTTTTTTTTTTTTTTTTTTTTGTTGAGACAGAGTCTTGCTCTGTTGCCCAGGCTGGAGTGCAATGGCACGATCTCAGCTCACTGCAACCTCTGCCTCCCGGGTTCAAGTGATTCTTTTGCCCCAGCCTCCCGAGAAGCTGGGATTACAGGCACCCGCCATCATGCCCAGTTAATTTTTGTAGAAACGGGATTTCACCATTTGGCCAGGCTGATTTTGAACTCCTGACCTCAGGTGATCTGCCCACCTCGGCTTCCCAGAGTGCTGAGATTACAGGTTCAGTGAGCCACTGAACCCGGCCTCCAACATTCCTTTTAACTCGTAACGGTCTATGAATTTTATAAAAAGCTTAAAATTCTCTGTACATGTGATGTATGACTGGGCCAATAGGTGAGTTTTCCAATACTGAATGCTAAATTAGTGTCTGGAGGAATCATGTCTGTGTTCTTAACGATATATGAACAAAGACAATTTTTGTTGGCCCACAACCTCCTATTTAGTGTCACCCAAGCAAGTCACTTAATCACATTTCCTTAAGCTCTAGGCTCCGCATTTTTTTAGGCTCTGCCTTTGAAAATGACTGTATCTTAGTTGGTGCTTCTGAAGAAATGGTGACCATAGCACTACTTCTTTCTTTTTTTTTTTTGAATTATTTTTGTCCTCTTCTTATTACACCAAGTATGTGAACCTAACTACTTATTTCTTAAATAAGAACTTTATTTTATTTTATTTTTTTTGTGAGATGGAGTCTTGCTCTGTCCCCCAGGCTGGAGTGCAGTGGCATGATCTTGGCTCACTGCAGCCTCCACCTCTCGGGTTTGAGATTCTTGAAGACCCTTCTCTCTTTCTCTCTCTCTTTTTAAAAAAATAAATACAGCATAACGCCCTGTGGAGAAGAAAAAAAAATTGAAAAAGAGATGGGAGGGGGGTCTCACTATGTTGCCCAGGCTGGTCTCGAACTCCTGAGTGCAAGTGATCCTCCCACCTTAGCCTCCCCAAAGGCTAGGATTACAGGTGTGAGGCACTGCACCCAGACTTTAATTTTTTTATTTTTATTTTTGAGACAGAGTCTTGCTTTGCCACCCAGGCTGGAGTGCAGTGGTGCAATCGCGACTCACTGCAACCTCCACCTACTGGGTCCAAGCGATTCTCGTGCCTCAGCCACCTGACTGGGACTGCGGGCGCCTGCCACCACGCCTGGCTAATTTTTTGTATTTTTAGTAGAGACGGGTTTTCACCATGTTAGCTAGGTTTGTCTTGAACTCCTGACCTCAAATGATCCGCCCGCCCCGGCCTCCCAAAGTGCTGGAATTACAGGCGTGAACCACCGCGCCTTCTTCAATGTGAGTTTAAATCACAGGGACTACGCCTCCCAGGGTGTTTGGATTCAAAGCACGTTCAGTGCCAGGTACTGGCGATCAAGGAAGGTAAGGTATCTGTGGATGTGGGGCGGGGGTTGACTGGGGGACACAGGCGTTGGAGATCTCCAAGGATCGCCACAACGACTGGGATCATATCGGGCAGTCTCCTCCACTCACAATGATAGCACACGCATGCGCGAACGAATTGGCCGCAGCATGGTTTGAATTGGGTTGAAACGCAAGGGACTACAGAGTGACGCAGCACGCTCCGTGTCTCGAAGGCAGAGGTCACCTCCTACCTCCAGGCGTGCGTAGGCGCAGGCGCCTACCCTCATGGGCGGGGCTCAGGCGGTGGCGTCGCAGCGCGTGGTCGCGGATTGGCCGGCCGCGAGGCTGACGGTTGGCTGTGTCCCTCGCCACAGGCGCATAGAGCATGCGCGGGGCGGGAGTGCGCGAAATTCAAGCTCCAAGCTCCCCCCGGGGTAACTGGAACCCAGTCCGAGGGTCATGGAGGCGTCCCGTAGGTTTCCGGAAGCCGAGGCCTTGAGCCCAGAGCAGGCTGCTCATTACCTAAGGTATGTCTGGGCCGCTGGGCGGGTCTAGCTTACCGACCTGGCCCAGGGTGGAGGTGGGGGTGGCCCCCAGATCCCCCTGGTGACCCGAACTGTTGAGGCGCAGCCTTATGAGGCGCGCTCTCGCACTCTTCTCGCAGTAGGGTGTGGGAGTCAGCTCTGGATGTTTGACCAGATTTCTAAAACCTCAGGAGACCCCGATGCCTTTTCTTTTGGGCAGATGACCCTGCAGTATGAGCTCCGTAAGAGCCAGAACCTTAATTAATCAAGCCCTTATTGATACTTTTCAGCTTATCAAGCCCCAAGCCTAGGGGATACAGAGATGAGTAAAACAAGGTCCCCGCCCCCAAGTTGTTTGTAATCTAGTAGTGGAAACGGATCTGTAAAGCAATAATTACTAGGTTTGATAAGTGCTCTAAGAGGTATAATGTATGTGCAGGGCATAGTGTTGGCATAAAAGAGGGGATGGCCAACTACAAGGGTGGTCAGCTAAGGGATGGCATGGCAAGAGGAGACATTTGAGCTAGGCGTTGAAAAATAAGTTAGCATTCACCAGTTGGCTAAGGGTGGGGGGCGTGGTAAGGTTGGGATGAGCATTTAAATTTTTTCTTAAATTGTGGTAAAGTACACATAACATAAAATTTATCTTTTTGTGCAGAAACTGGGTTTTATGAAAAATAAAGTTTATCATCTTAACCATTTTTAAATGTACAGTTCAGTAGTGTTGACTACATTCATATTGTTGTGCAACTGTCTGTCATCTCCAGAACTTTTCTCATGTGGCAAAACTGAAACTACTCCCATAAAACAACTCCCCATTTCCCCCTCCCTTCAGCCCCTAGCAACCATTATTCTGTCTCTGTGGATTTTACTGCTTTAATTTTTTTTAGACAGGGTCTTGCTCTGTCGCCTAGACTGGAATTCTGTGGCCTGATCATAGTTCACTGCAGCCTGGAACTCCTGGGCTCAAGCAGTCCTTCTGCCCCAGCCTCGCTAGTAGCTGGGACTTCAGGTGGGTGCCACCATGCCCAGTCAATTTATTATCTTATTATTGTTGTTTTATATGTTTTTTTAGAGACAGGGTCTGGCTCTGTCACCCAGGCTGGAGTGCAGTGGCTCAATCTCTAACTCAGTTCACTGCAACTTCCATCCCCCGGGGCTCAAGCGCTCCTCCCACCTCTGCATCTCTAGTAGCTGGGACCACAGGTGCACACCACCACACCCAGCTATTTTATTTTATTTTATTTTTGACAGAGTCTCGCTCTGTCACCCAGGCTGGAGTGCAGTGGCACGATCTCAGCTCACTGCAAGCTCTGCCTCCCGGGTTCACACCATTCTCCTGCCTCAGCCTCCCGACCCGAGTAGCAGATACTACAGGTGCCCGCCACCACGCCCAGCTAATTTTTTGTACTTTTAGTAGAGATGGGGTTTCACCGTGTTAGCCAGGATGGTCTCGATCTCCTGACCTCGTGATCCACCTGCCTTGGCCTCCCAAAGTATTTTTTTCGTATTTTTAGTAGAGACAGGGTCTTGCCATGTTGTCCAGGCTGGTCTCAAACTCCTGAGTTCAAGCAGTCCTCCTGCCTCAGCCTCCCAAAGTGTTGAGATTACAGACGTGAGCCACCATGCCAGGCCTTTCATTTAGATTTTTCCAATTGTTTGCCGTTTTACTTTTGTCGTAATAGGCAGCCTTTTTGTGAATTTTTGTGCACTTTATAACTGAGTGTACACTTTGGAATTCAGAGTGCTGTATCTTAGGGAATGTGTATTTAAAATTGCTATTCAAGAAAACCATGCCAGATTTTAATAAAGTCAATAGTGTGAGTAAGCATTTATTTATATTCTCTCAGGCTGGTGTGTGATGAGCTATATGAGTCAATTCAAAAGTTAAGATACATAGTTTTACTTTTGAAGCTAGGACTTGTAGTATTTTCTTCTACAGATACACTTACATGAGTGGGCAAAGATGTATGTGCGTGTATATACAGTAAGTCCTCATTTAACATTGTCCGTAGGTTCTTGGAAACTGACTTTAAGTGAAATGACGTAGCAAAACCAATTTTTTTCTCATCAGTGTTGCAGCAAAATGATATTGAATGAACCAGTGTCATTCAAGGACCTGCTGTGCATCATTTTGCTTAAAGTTGTGGTTGCCAAGAACTTACTGACCACGTTAACTGAGGACTTACTGTACATGTAAACATATACCAGAGGTGTGTGCCACCAAGCGTGGCTAATTTTTAAAAGATTTTTGTAGTCTGGGCACAGTGGCTCATGCCTGTAATCACTTTGGGAGGGCGAGGTGGGTGGATCACAAGGTCAGGAGTTCAAGACCAGTCTGGCCAACATGGTGAAGCCCCGTCTCTACTAAAAATACAAAAATTAGTCAGGCGTGGTGGCAGGCACCTGTAATCCCAGCTACTTGGGAGGCTGAGGCAGAATTGCTTCAACCTGGGAGGCGGAGGTTGCAGCGAGCCAAGATTGCGCCACTGCACTCCAGCCTGGGCAGCACTCCAGCCTGGGCAACAGAGCAACACTCTGTCTCAGAAAAAAAAAAAAAAGATTTTTGTAGAGATGGAGTCTCACTGTGTTGCCCAGGCTGGTCTTGAACTCCTAGGCTCAAGTGATCCTCCCACCTCAGGCTCCCAAAGCACTGGGATTACAGGTATGAGCCACCATGCCCAGCAGAATCAGACTTTTTATTACACTTCCATTATTATACCACCGTTCAAGCATTCTACTCTCCATCCTCTACCTTACTCCCTCTAGAACACCAGTTCCAACAACTATTTGGTATCGTTGGGACCTATAGTTCATTGATTCCATTTTTTCACTGTTGCACACCCCTCAGGTTCTCACTTCTCTCCTTACATAGTTTGAAGTTCAGAGTCAATAATTGTGGAGGCTTCCTTGTATACAACTTTAACTTATTTTTTTTCTCTTTCACACTTCATTATACTGGCTTGGCAAGACCATAGCCTTCGTATGGTAAGCAGAGTAATGGCCTCCCAAGAATATCCACATACTAATTTCTGAACCCTGTAAATATGTTACCCTCATATGGTAGAGAGGAATTAAGGTCGCTAACCAGCTGACCCTAAAATAGGGAAATTGGAATATCTGGGTGAGCCCAGTGTAATCACAGGGTGCTTAAAAGTAGAAGAGGGGCTGGGTGTGGTGGCTCATGCCTGTAATCCCAGCACTAGGGGAGGCCAAGGTGGGTGGATCACCTGAGGTCAGAAGTTCGAGACCAGCCTGGCCAATGTGATGAAACCCTGTCTCTACAAAAATACAAAAATAAGCTGGGCGTGGTGGCACACGCCTGTAATCCCAGCTACCCAGGAGGCTGAGGTGGGAGAATTGCTCCAACCCAGGAGGTGGATGTTGCAGTGAACCGAGATTGCGCTGTTGCACTCCAGCCTGGGCTACAAGAGTGAAACTCCATCTCAAAAAAAAAAAAAAAAAAAAAGTGGAAGAGGGAGGCAGAAGAAGAGGTCATAGTGATGCAGGGTGAAAAGGACTCAACCTGTTCTACCTGACTTGGTAGATGGGGGAAGGGGCTATGAGCCAAGGAATGCGTATGGCCTCTGGAAGCTGGAAAAGTCAAGAAGCACATTCTCCCCCTAGAGCCTCCAGAAAGGAACACAGCCCTGCTGCAACCTTAATTTTAGCCCAGTGAGACCTGTGTCAGACTTCTAACCTATATAACCTGCAAGATATAACCTGTAAGATAAAATATAATACTATGTGTTGTTTTAGTATTTGTGATGATTTGTAACGGCAGCAATAGGAAACTAACACATTTTGCTAAATCCAACTCTGGCCCTCAGAGATGAACATGGTTGAATAAACAATCATGCTGACTGGTCTTATTTGAAATCCGTCAATATTAATGTCAAGCAGGCCCTTCATGCTGCCTGGCAATCATATTACATTTCTCTAATGTATTCACTCATCCATTCTACTAGAGGCCTGTTTCACACCTTCTTGCTTTTCAGACCCTCAACACCTCTCCCTCATCTCTCTTGCTTCCAATTTCACTGGGTCGATAGAAGCAATCAGAAGAGTTTCCAGGAGCTTCTCCCTTATCGACCTACTTCCCAGCATTATTCCCCCTGTGTTCTTTGCCTTCTATCCTGTTAGTATGGATGAACTCTTTGCTTCTAGCACAACCCCTCCATTTGTGCAAAAGATCTCATCCCTTGTCACTCACTGGTATAAGGACTTCAACCCACCAATTCTTTCACTGTTAAAAAAAAAATCCTCTCTTGATCCTATTTTCCTTTCCAGTTATTGCTCCATTTCTTCTCTTTCCTTTACTGCAAAATTCCAGGTGTCAATATCATTGTCTACACTTGTCATTTCCTATTTCTTTCCTCCTAACTTCTGTTGAACTCATCCCAATCAGGTTTTCACCCCATCACTTTACTCAAACTGCTTTTATCAAAGTCACCAATGACATTCACATAACAAAATCCAAGAGTCAATTCTCAATCTTCATCAACCTAGACCACTAGTACTTGACGAAGTTGATCACTTCTCCATGAAACACATGATTCATTAGTCTTCCAAGGAGCCCTTGCTCTCTGTATTTTCTTCCTACCTCACTGACTGCTGCTTCAGATTCTGTTGATATTCCTCCTCATATCTTCTAAGGTAATTTAAATCCCCAGATATGACATTTCACGCTGAAATACTTAAGTATATGTTCCTTAAAAACAACATATTCTTTTTTTTTTTTTTTTAACACGGAGTCTTGCTCTGTTGCCCAGGCTGGAGTGCAGTAGCGCAATCTTAGCTCACCACAACCTCCGCCTCCCGGGTTCAAGTGATTCTCTGCTTCAGCCTCCCAAGTAGTTGGGATTACAGGCACCTGCTACCACGCCCGGATAATTTTTGTATTTTTAGTATGGGGTTTCACTATGTTGGCACCTGCTACCACGCCCGGATAATTTTTGTATTTTTAGTATGGGGTTTCACTATGTTGGCTAGGCTGGCCTCAA